CATATTTGCAACGGTCGACCACCAACACCGGAACAACTACCAATGTGCTTTGACCCCGAGATTGGTTGGGATGGAGTGTCGCTGGACGAATTTCTTGCTTGCCCCTACAATCTTGCTTTTAATAGGTTTTCATTTATTTTTTCAGCTGTTGTAAATTTATCCTTTACAGCATTTCTAAGATTGCTGAAGCTGTACTAGAATCTGCTTATTTGCTCAGGTATTTTTTCGGGGCCTAGGAATGGCAACATTCGGAACGAGGTGATTTCCGAGTAATTTTAGTTATGTAGCCAATTTTCATATGTGCTACATAGATCTGCATAAATTTGAATAATTTTAGGCAAACACGAATGTTAGCTGATTTGACGCTCATCAACTGCTATGATACACGAGCAAATGACGTTGCCACCAGAGAACGGATTATGCTGGCAAGCGCAAAGGCTAATTTAAAAAATTTAGCTTTTTTTGGACTCAAAGAATATATGGCCGAAAGTCAGTGGATGTTCGAGCAACTCTTCCGCTTAAAGTAAGAAATTTCATGGATTCTTGGCAATATTACCTCTGGAATTTAACGATTAGAACTTCTACCTCCCACTGAGATTGCATGGACAGTCAGTAATATTTCCTCAAAGTTACTCAAATACAACTATAAATCTTTTTTGCCTTGACTTAAGACAAAAAGAAAAAGCTCACTTTTTTCAGTGAGCACTTTTTTTTCAGGCATCTCATAAATTTTCGCAATTTTTAACAGATAGCTACATCCTTCGCAACGCTATTTCCAGCTAACACGGAATGCTTAATGACTTATCCTGCTCTATGCTTTTTCCACATGTTCAGCGTTGATTTTTTGAAGTGCTATATCTAGTTATAATTTTTTGACGCAAGATACAATTCTACTCGTTCTGTTTCTCATTTTGATTCATTTTTTCATCCTAGTTGGATCTGAGAGCTCCGTTTTTTACAGTTCCCTCCGTCCTACCTCTGAGAGCTTCATGTCGGCACTCCTTTGTGAAATCGAGAGCTCCATACTGACAGTTCTCTGAGTACTACTAAAGACTGTTTTTTTTAAAACATTATTTACATTAATCCGAAATATTAACATATCCTTGATTAATATTGTTCTAAAAAGCTGTTCAAATGCTGCAAAAGTTTTGTAATTGAAGCTTCGTTGATCGGTTGACTGAATCGAAGTAGGGAAAGGCAAAATGCACTGGTTTGAGTGTTTCTGGTACGCATTGATTTTTTGAGGTTTACAAAAAATCTGGCTGACTGGACGAAAAGCAAA